CCCCCACCCCCACAGTCCTGCCACCCTCCCTGCCAAGGCCCCCCCTGTCGGTTCTCAGGTACCTCAGCAGAACCCAGGGGAGGGACTCTCAAGGATTCTATCCATGAAAGAGAAAAGACCCCAGGCCATGATGGAGATGAGGCTGTCTGCCTTGGGTAAGGCTAGTGGGAGGATGGGACCCTCAGATGCTCAGGGTCTGTGCAGACCTCACCTCAGCCAGGGGTCAAGGCCCAGGAGTCTCTGTCCACTCACATCCATGTCTAAGGGACTTCTAGGGCCTGCAGTGCCCTGACTGCCCAGTGAGGAGCCAGAGATCTGCCTGAAATGCCCCAGCCATCCTGAGCCCCTTTTCAGGAAAGCCCCCCACCAGCTCCCTTCTCTGAGTAGTCTGCACAGGAGGGCAGCCCAGCTCCTTCGAAACCCTCCTCAGCCCATGCCCTGGAGGGAGCCCAAAGGGATCTGCTGGGGCCTCACTCTCAGGAATGTGGGACACGGCCCTCCTTTCCCTTGGGAAGTACCCAGAGGTGGTATAGATCAGACATTGCCAGGGTCTCTGCCTACTTGGCCTCAAGGCTGTCACCAGTGGAGCAGAGACCCAGGCTGGCCATGCTGGAGCTGGGGTAAGTGGGGTGGCCAGAGGCAGAGCCAAGCCAGGCCAGAGGCACCTTGAGGCAGCTCTCCCAACAACAGGCATGATGGGGTCCCCTGAATAGCACATGCTGAGCCAGCCAGGGGTAGACTGCCCTATAAACAGTCAGGGCACACTTTTGGGATACCCCAGGGAGGAGCCTGGATGGCTCAGGAACCCTCAGCCCTTCCTGCCACGGCCCTGGGTGGCCAAATGGCGGGACTGCAGCCAGAGCTCCAGGTGCAGCCCTCGCATCACCTGCAGACCGCACAGCCCCAGGGTCATCCCCTGCCTAGGACCCCCTGGCCCAAGCCCAGGCTGGGCTGCCAAATCCTACAGAGACAGGCCTGGTTGCCATAGTGAAGCCAAACACATTTCCCTCAGCAGTTCCTTGGCGTCCCCTTAATATGCTTTTTCCATTCCAAACAGGCAGAGTGTGCTGTCAGGGATCCCCCAGAACCTCAGCAGGCCCTGGTCTGAGGCCTGCCGGGCCTCCCCTCCCTCCCAGCACTCAGGACAGGCCTTTGCCCTCACCTCTGCATCCTTCCCTTGGGACCCACAGCCCAGACTCCATGGAGGCTTCAAAGCGCCTGACCAGACTGCTATGGCCTCCCCTCCCCAGGCTCTGCCCCCTTGGACCCTCCCCCAGCCTCCTGGCCTTTCCTGTCCAGGTCCAGCCTCTGCAGCACCCAGGGCCATCTCTGCTAGACGGAGGGGGTCTCTCCTGCTCTGTGGCCTGGCCTTAACCCCTACTTGGAATGCCTTCGCTTCCCCACCTGCCCCTTGGGGCCAGCCTCATCTCTCTGTCCTTTTTTCCCCCATGTACAGGATGGAGACCTGGCCCAGCTTGGGGACATCCAGAAGGCTTCCTGGAGGAAGGGGTTGGCCAGATCCAGAGCAGGGAATGTTCTGGGAAGAGATGGCATTCATCCTCCTATCTCAGTGCCTGGCTGCAGGGCTGCTTTTTCTGCCCACACTCTCCCTCCAACTCAGTGCCCAGCCTAGCCCTGACTGCAGGGGCAGAACTGGGAAGCATGTGCATGTCCCTGGCTGTCCTAAATCAGGGGTCTAAACTCATAAAAACAGGTCCTGGGCCTTTGCCCAAGAGCCAAGCAGCGGGCAGTGGCTAGGCCTGGTCTATACCTACAAGTCCCCCTGGCCATTTTCTCATTGCTTCCTGCGTGGCTTCTGTCGCTTGTGTGTCTTCCTACTTGCTTCTCTGGAGAAGTCAGGGAGTGCAGCCCCAGTCCCTGGGCCAGATCCAGGTCTGGAGGTGCCCCAGGAGCTCAGAGGGCAACAATCTTGCCTGCCCACTCCTCTGTCCAGCCCACGTCATCCAGCCCTTGCTGCCCCATCACCACTCTGGCTGGCACATTCCTCCGGCTCCTGCCACCTGGATGCCCTCCCAAGGTGCTCTTGGGATTATTCACCCCCTAAAAGGCTTCCAAACAGCCTGCTTCCTCCTGCCCAGGGTGGCCAAGTGCCAGGTGTGCACTATGACTTTAGCCCCAGCCCCCAGGGCCCATTTCCTGCTTCGTCTGCCCCACCTGACTCCGTGCTCCTCCAGGGAGTGACCATATCTCTTCTGCTCCAGGGCCAGTGCATGAGGGACACTGGGGGCATCTGTCTATAGGGGCTGGTGGGCCTGTCTTCAAGGGTGCCTCCTGCATAAGCTGGCCTGAGGCCTGAAGGCCTAGGTGCCCACCCATGAACAGACCTGAGTTCAAATCCCACCTCTGCCACTTAACGGCTATGTGACTTTGGGCCAGCTGCTTGCCTGTGTGGTCCTCAGAGTTCTCATCCATAAAAATGGAGTGGATGTACCAGGTCTGGAAGGAACTGTGAGAGATGCCACATGAGTCAATAGTGAAGGCTCTGCTGACAGCAGCTTCTCTTGGAGAACTGAAGATGGAGGCTGAGAGCCCATGCCAGGGACATACAGCCAGTGAGAGGTCACTCCATTGCTGCCAGCAAACCACAAGGCCCCACTGTGCACTTAAGCCAGCCCCTCACTCAGCATGCTAGCCAGCAACTGAATCACAGTGTCTGGGCTGCCCAAGCCTCCCAACCTCGGCTCTTCAACTGCATCTTCTTCCATTTCCCAAACTGTCCATTCCTTTGTCCTGCCAACTGGCCAAGGGTCACACCCACTGCCTGCCAGGCCCTATCCTAGAGAGAGGGGACGTGGTGACAACTAATCATGAGTCTGACCCTAGAGAAGCTGGGAGCCCGGTGGGGGAGGCCAAGGGTCAGAAGTACTACTACGCTCTGTTCAACATGACAAAGGCACTTTTCTGTGGGGGCCTGTTCCTCCTAAGTCAGTTCTGAAGACCCTGATCTTTTTCATTCATTTCCTGGAAGATCATGACACACAACCATAGTGGACTTACTCCATAGGGACCCTAAGTTCAAGACCCTCCTTCCTGGCCAGTTGTCTCTTTCAGCCAGGCTGTCCAGTCTCTGCTTTCCCCCAGAAGGAGGTTATGGTTTTCTGGAGATAGTGCTGCTATAGGATTCAGGCACCCTGAGACACAGGGACTGGGGTTTCCATGGAGAAATTTGAATGCCCAGAGAAGTGGAAGTGGGGATTTATGACAGAGAGAAGGGGTGTGGGAAGGAAGAGGCCCAAAGAGAAGGAATGGGAGGAAGGCCACACGCTTGGCCAAGGCCAAGGGGCAGGCAGCCCCCAGGAGAGGTGGCCTGCATTGGAGGGTAGGGGTCTGAGGGATAGGAGAAGGGTGGGCAGACAGGCTGGGCAGCACAGAGCTCTAAGCAAGGGATGCAGCAAAGCAGGGTGGAACCCTTCCCCCTAGGGCAGGGTGTGATCCAGCGAGACACCAGACTCAGCCCCAGCTTACTGCCCTGACCTGGCTCAAGACAACCAGGCCCAGGCAGCCAGACCCAGTGAGGACTCGGAGATGAGGGCCCCACCCCAATCTCCACTGCACACCAGCTAGCCTCACTCTCTCCTGTTTCCCCACTGAAGCCAGCAGTCCATCCTCCACATACAACCAGAGGTTCTTTATTAGACTCAGATCTGATGCCACTCTCCTGTGCTTGAGTCCTCCAACTGCCTCCTTTGTAAGCACAAGACTATCCACGTCCTGCACCCTAGTCTGGCCTCATCCAATTCACCTCTCACCACTTTAACAGTACTCGCTGGTGTACACTGAGCTTTCTCACTCTGGGCCTTTGCATATCTTTCTACCTCTGCCCGACAAGCTCTTTCAGCAAGACACACTGCTCTTCTCAAGACAGGCTGCTTGCTGTAGGTGTTCCCTCCCCAAGCCATTCAGGAGTCCCCTACTGGGGACTCTTTTTCTCAATGCCCTGTTTCTTTTTTCATAGCACCTATCACAATTTCTCGTGATCATGTCTGTGTAGTGTCAATCCCTCCCCCAAATCTAAATCACCGGTTCTTAAAGTGGGAACGCTTGGAAATGTCTGGAGACATTTTTGGTTGTCATATTGCGGGTGGGGAGGCTACTGGTATCTAGTGGGTGGAAACCAGGGATGCTTCCCAACACCCTAAAAAGCACAGCAGGGAATGATGGGCACGAAGTGTCATGAGTGGCGAGGTTGAGAAACCCTGCACGAGATAAGCCTAGGAGAACTGGGACCACAGTCTCCCAGAGCCTCCAACCGTGCTGGGCACCTGGCGGCGATCAGTAAACGCAGGAAAAAGGAATGAATAAAGGAGAGAATGAAGGAAGCGAGCGTGCGATGGACCAGCTGATAAACAGACGTACCTACAAGACAGACCCTGGATTGCCTCAGCCCCGCCCCCTAGGCCCGACCCCCTCCCCAGACCCCAGCACGCGCCCCCCGTCCCACCACGCGGCACCGAGGCGTAAGCCCCAGGCCTGCACGCCGCGCGGACACTTACCCGCCCGTGGCCGCTCGGGAACGGCAGCGCCACCCCCCGTTTCATCGTGCCCCCTCGGCCGCTGGCCGGGAAAGGGACAGGACGCTCGAGCCGGAAGCACTCAGGCGCTGTGTCCGCCGGGACTTGTAGTTGCCAGGCTCTCCCAGCCCCCGGCGGCCGCCTTACGCGAGACTCTTCAGAAACTACGACTTCCGGCGGCTCCGAAGTAGCGGGGTAGGATTGGTGGCTTCAGAATCACTCTATGTTGCAGATCGGAGCCTGATGGGCTATGTGTATCCGTCGCTCACAGTTAGATTCAATGGCCTCTGCAAAAGGGTGGAGTTTTCGGTGTCCGGTTCGAGAGACCGCCCCAAGAAGAAATGCCAAGGCGCGATTGGCGGAGACAGGAGGAGTAGAGAGCGGAGCATATCAGCAGTAAGCGAAGGCAGATCCTTACGCCGGGATCGCCCAATCGCAGAGGTGGGCAGTTTGTATAAAAGCTCGAGCCTCACGCCTAATTAGTCTTTTGGGATCAGGTGGTACTTGTGAATGTGTTTTTTTGCTGATTGCATGCCCCACGATCTGGGGCGGAAGTGTTCGGCGAGTGAGGCTAGGGAGGTGTCCCAAACCCACAGGCCGCTCCAGCTCGCTGGTCCAGCCTCCGCCTGAACTCCTCTTTGGTCCTCAACGTTCTGTGCGTTTCTTCCCCACACTCCTGCCAGTTTCGTCGGGGAAGCCTGAATTTCTAGATATACTTCTTACTACAGGTAAGGCTGAACTGGACTGGGCCAGGCCTGGTTTCCCCATTCCTCTCCGAGCCTATGATGAATTCCTTTAATTTCTGACACCTCGTATGAAAACTGCACATGCAGTCTGATTATTTTGCAAGACTGAGGCTTCGGGGTTCCCTCCCCCTGTTGGAAGGGCCTGTGGGGTGAAAACAGGTCTTGCCGGAAATGGCAGGGTTGGGCTTCTGTCTACGTTTGGACGCTGTCTGACTTTCAGTGACGGGGGTGATGAGGCAGCTTTGCCGACCGTGGCTTATTAACAATGGAGAAGGACCAGGCCGTTTAAAAACGTTCTGTTCTGCAGCTGGCGCCTTGATTCTGTTAGCGGACAGGGGCCTCCCATAAGAGGGGAAAAAAACCCCAAAGCGCAGGCTCTTGCCTTTGTACAGTGAAAGGATTAACAGTGGAGACATAGGATATAGTGAAAAAGCTGCTCTTTATTACCCAAGCGGAAGGCGGGGTGGGGGAGCTGCAGGCCAGGGTGACCTAGTGCAAGATCTCCCCCTCTTGGGGTCTTAATGTGAGGAAGAAAATCAAGCAGGGATAAAAACCCCTTTTTCACTTACACTTTACTGTCATTCTGTTGGCTTCTGTACTCGTGCTTGCTTCTCGCATCAGCCAGAAATGGGGAAAAGGAAACTTACTGCACTTAGCCTGGAAGGTCCCAAATACCTGGAAGCCTAACATGTATAAAAGGCAATCAAAGCCCAAGCCGGGGGCTCGGCCTTTGGAGGTGACTGCTGGGCCAGCACCGGTGTGGAATAAACCAGTTTTTTCTGATCCTACAAGTGCGTGCTGTCGGTCTCTCCCCGCCAGCTGAATTCTCCCATTACAAATGCGGTCCTTTTATCTGTCTTTGGTGTTTCTTGCCCTCTTTCCACTGACTGCTCTGTTCCTGCTGCTTCTGCTCCCTGGAACAAACACTGGACAAACAAAATCCGGTAACGAGGGACCCTCAAAGACTATAGTCAAGCTAAAACAATGTGGTCAGGCTAGACTGAGCAAGACCCTTAAAAAATGTGGTCATGAGGATTAGATCTAGTAAGGACTTTCTGTTCCTTCTAGGTGACTCTACTTTCAAACTTTTCAAGAAGTCTCTAGTTGATGGGTCCAAGTTTCAGTTTGCTAGTTCCCTGCCTGCCTCAGTTCTGTTACCAAACCAAACTTGGCGGTATGCAGTAAAGCCAATCTACTGTACCGGGTTGTGGTTAAGGAAAGTGCAATGTTTATTGCAGATCACTGAGCAAGTAGTCCAAAGAAGATAGTGCTTAAAAGGCCCAAACTCCCAGAGTCTTTCAAGGAAAGGTTTTAAAGATAAGGTGAGAGAGGAGTGTTGTGGGGTATGTGATCAGCCCATGTACATTCTATTGATTGGCTGGTGGTGAGGTAATCAGGAGCTAACATCACCAACCAGTCTGGGGTCTATGTGTTTGTGGGCAGCATGTAGTTGATTCGCCTGGTGAGGGTTTCAGTGTCTGCCAGACAGCTCCAAGGATATATAGCACATCGGGGAGGAACTAAATTTCCTTGACTTTGTTTAATGGCTAAACTGTTGTCTTGCTTGACTGTTTTCCTTTCTATTCTCACTTCTCTGATTAAATGTACTCTTTGAAACTCTGAGAAGCCTAGGAAACTAAAGTTTTCCTGCAGACAAGAGGCAGGCAGAAAACATGGAGGGGGTTGGTTCTGTTCCAGGAGAACCTCTTTAGGGTCGTTCTAGGTTACAATTCTAGTGACCTAAGCACGATAGAAAACCTAGCATTTTTTTCTAATTTTTTTCTCCTATTTTCCTGCTGAATTTTTGTTCCAGGGCTGGGCTCAACAGAAGGAGAAGCATTAAAAGGACTCAAGAAGGGTGATTGGCTCCAGCACACCCAGAATGAGGACATGACGGCAGAATCCTCCAGTAACAGCGCCTGTGGCCCCACAGGGAGCTGGAGCTGTCTTGATCAGCCATCTTGACTTCCTGTCAGTTTCCTTCCCTCTTAAGGGATCAGGCAACTGTATGCACTGCCCCTGCACTGGCTTCCGCTGAGAACTCTTTCCTAGGTAGTAGGCAAGATCCCTCCTAAGCTTTGGGCCCTGTAACAGGTCTCTACCCAGCCTGCTAACATCAGGACTGTCAGTGACTCGGCTGGAGACCTGTAGGTAAGTCAACGTCAGCCCAGGGGCCTGGTGGTTAGGCTGGAGTCGTATCTGTCTAAAGTGCTGGAGAGTTGGATTTATACTACTCTCTCAGGGTGAGCCCAGAAGTAAAGACCCTCCAGCACAGTTACAACCAGGTGGCCTGGGATCAGGAAAGGTCCTTCTGTGCCTGGAACCAAGGCATTCCTCCTGCCATAGGCCCCTCGATAATTGGGACATAAACCATACCTCTCTGGGAAATCTGTCAATTGGACAGGCTAAAGAGAAAGAAATGAATTCAGTGCTGCGCATAGGACTGCCCTGCCTGCCCACTAGAGGAAGGAGAAAGATGGCCCCCTTCTGGCAGCCTGGCCATCAATACTGTTCAGTTTATAATGCAGACATGAAAACAAAGATGGCAAGGTCCCCTATATCCATGATTTCGGGGCTCTCTATCAGGACTGATCAAGATGGAAATTTCAACTCCCAGATCCTCATAAATGTTCTTTCAGAGTCCTGGCAAAAGCAGAGGCTAATCCCCCCTTGGCGATGCCAAAGTTCCCCAGAGCCCTCCACCCCGTCAGAAACGGCAGGAGAGAGTACTTCAGAACAGGCCTCCCTGCCATGTGCCCCCTCTCCCATGGGGCTCAGATTGGAAAATCAGCTGTGTCCCAAAACAGTGGCTGAACTAAGCAAAAATTTGTCTAAGGGAAGTGCCCGAGGGTGAGGGGAACCATGGGAGTTAACATACCCTTGTCAGTGCAAGACTTTGCCCAGTGCAGAGAAGAGCTGGGCTCGTATTTAGAAAACCCCTAGAAGTTCCATGATGAATTTGACTGCCTGACACTTAAGTTTCCTCCTTACCTGGAGGGACATTATGGTCATTTTGACTCACTTCTGTCTGCAATGAAGAGGAAAGGAGAATCCTAGACCAGGCTCAAGGTGGCAGATGAGAGACTACAGGCCGACGCTCATTTGGGCCCTGGAGAAACCATACCCTTATCTGAGCCTGATTGGAACCTCAACACTGGGGCAGGCAACAAGGCCCTTAGCTATTTTGTTTCCTGCTCTCTCCAGGGCATGACCCTTGGGGTCACAAAGGCTATGAACTATAACAAGATAAATTACCCAGGGTCACATTTAAACCCAGCCCTCTCCATAGGCAGATTCATGGAGGCTTTTAAAATTTAAACCCTAAATGATCTAGAAAGCCTGGAGGGTAAAGGCCTGTTAGCTGTCTCAGGCCACAGCTGGCGTTAGAAGAAAGTTACAAAAGCTCGATAAAGGACCTGAGACGCCCATTGCTGAGATGGTGGAGGAAGCAAATGAGGTCTTCCTGAACCATGACCAAGAGGAAGAAGGAAGGAAGGAAGAGAAGCCCAGAAAGATAGGAAGATAGAGAAGCCTCTTGGCAAACTAGCAGGCCAAGGCTGGGGCTGTGGTCTCCCCACCTGGCATTAAGCCCCACACACCACTGTAGCTACCGCACACTCAGTGTGAATGTGGCAAGGGAGACAGACACTGGGAAGGGGAATGTCCCAGTCACCCTGAGGGAAGGCAGCCAACTCCTGAGCCCAGGCCCTCTGTCATGGCTGACCAGAAATGATGCCTATTGGCTTGAGAAGCCCCCATGGGTGTAGAAGGTAAGGAGTTTCCTTTAGGGTATGGGGTCTGCCTTTTCTGTACTCCCGTTCGAGACCTTTTGATAGTAGCAGGTCGGTTAATGGAAGCAGAAAGGGAAGCTCTACCCTGCCAACTCACTAAACCCTTCTGCAAGTTGGGAAGTTGGCGAGGAACCCATTCCTTCCTCTACATTCTGGAGTGTCCGGGTCCCCTATTGGGAAGAGACCTCTGTCCAGTGGCTGGCTGATTGCCTGCAGGTAGACTCTGACCCTCCTTCCCAGGGGACCCCCGAGTCTGGCACACTTGTAGCCCAGGTTTGCCCAAAACACCGCACCTGTAGAAATTCTTAATCTTAAGCCTGGAAGAAGTGAAACCACCTAAAACCTGAGGCCCTATGGGGACTTAGGCCCTTAAGTTACCAAGTTCCAGCAACTAGGAATAATCATACCTTGTAAGTCCCCCTGTAATACCCCTATACTACCTGTCAAAAAGCCAGGTGGCTCCTACCTTTTTGTACAGGACCTCCGGGGGCTCAGTGAGGCAGTCATACCAAAACACCCTGTTGTACCAAACCCGTAGACCTTCCTTGCCCAGGTTCCCAGCGGGGGCTGT